CACACACACACACACACACACACACACACACACACACACACACACACACACGTATACGTGGAAGCTTCTAAAGTATTAAGTTTCCATTTAGCTTTATGAAAGGTCTTTAGTATTAGCTGTATCGCCTCTGCTCTGCCCTCCCACCTATGTACACTGTTGGGGAAGAAAAGCAATTAACAGCTCATGCAGCTGTGAACCCTATGAGCTACACAAGATCAAGCCAACCAAAACACCAGCATGCATGGGGAGGAGCACAGGAACTCCTATCTTAGCTGGGCCATTTCCACAGATCCTGCACAGAGACAAAAAAAAAAAAATTAGAGAATGTGTGTCTACACACTCACACATACACGTGTGAATTTATGTATACCACGTGCATGCATGTGCTTGAGGAGGCCAGAGGGCATTGGGTTCTCTGGAACTGTTCTTACAGGAAGTTAGGAACCACCTAATGTGGTTGCTGGGAAACAACCCAGGTCCTCTGCAAGAACAGTTAACACTCCTAGCCATTCCAGCCACCATAGTGATCCCCTCCTTTAAAAAAAAAAAAAAAAAAAAAAAAAAAGACAGAGAGCTTCTGAGTATCTGGCTGTCCTGGAACTCAATCTATAAGACCAGGCTGGCCTCAAACTTACAGAGATCTGCCTACCTCTGCTTCCCAAGTGCTGGCATTATTGATGTGCTCCACCAGCACCTGGGAAGCCTAAACTTTGTAACTAATAAAAACAAATGTACATAGGGATTTAGGGGCTATGTTTGTTGCCATACACTTGTCAAAGCTAATACAGTCACAAACTATCTTGTTTATCTTATCACCTACCCTATCCCTTTATTACTAACTCCATTAAAGCCTTCTTTATTCACAAGGTCTAAAGATAGTAAATTTTTATCCTATTGACTCTTTCTATTAATCAAATCCTATCAGTTCTGAAGCTTTGAATTAATCTCTTCTTTTGTCACTGTCATTTTCTAAACTGAGAACTCAGATACTAACTTGGCTTATTCATCTGGCCTTTAAAACATATATAATGTGCAAGAATGTTTTGCCTGCATGCATGTTTGTGCATCACTTGTGTGCAGTGCTTGCAGAGAACCGAAGGTGTTAGATCCCCTGGAACTGAAGTTACAGAGAGTTGTAAACTGCCACATTGGTGCTGTGAATCAAATCTGGTCCTTCTCGAAAAGTCATCGGTATCCACAGAGACATCTCTCCAGGCTCCCAGCCAACCATTCTTTTGAATATATATTATATATCATACATAATAAAAAGAGTTATGAAAACAAAGTGCTGAGATGCAAGCATATGTTGGAACAGAACAAAGTACAATGCAGTGAGTAGCCCAATTAGAGCAAGGACTAGATGAGATGATGTTACCTTCTTTCCTAGACACAAACTAGATCCTTGTCATTCCTCTCTTTTAAGATCCTTCATGATTCTACTCCACTGGCTCATGGAAACACTTCACGGTCTGGTCCCTACTTGCATAACAGCCCATCTCTTGCTTTGCTTTGACTTCACATCCAATGACTCAGCCATTTATAATCAAGTGCTGCTCTGATAATATGCTGAGTATTCTCACAATACCTAGCACTTTTGCATCCTGTAACTGGAAGAAGTCCCTCCTTAATGTCTAACAACAAAAACCCTAGTACAAATAACTCCTTTCTGAAATCTTTACTTATATCTGCCAATGTAGTTTCTAGATAACTTGTTAACACATTGTTGCTTTGTTTTATGATTTGGTCTTCTGTTTGTACCAGAGAAAATGGTAACTTTAGAGACAGAAATCACATTCTACTCTTTGTAACCTTGCCTAAATTTGACATCAGTAAATATTCAAGAAACAGTTGAGTATCAAAATGTATTCATAAGGCAAGGAATAGTGGCACATCCATATAATTCTAGCACTTGGAAGACTGAGACAAGATACTACATACTGAAACAATGTTTCAAAAAAGGTGAAGGTTAAAATAAGTGAGAGTAGGGAGGGGAAGTAGACTAATCCTGCCAGTATTTTTCTTGTTTGGGTTCTGTATACTTAAACATTAAGGCCACTAAAAAGTATTATTCCCACATAAGGAAAGAACAAATGAAGTACACTTTGCCCCTTCCATCTAGATATCTGACAATCTACTTAATAACTAATTAAAAATACTTAGAAAACTCCCTGCACTTAAAAGGAAAAGCACTATGACACACATTTGCAATGCCAGCATCTGGAAGGTAAAGGAAAGAATCAGAGGTCTGCTGGGTGTGCAAGCCTTTAATCGAAGCACTTGGGAGGCAGAGGCAGGTGAATCTCTGTGAGTTTAAGGCCATCTTGGTCTAAAGAATGATTTCCAGAACAGCCAGGGTACATAAAGAAAACCTGTCTAGAAAAACAAACAAACAAAAAAAAACCCAAAACAAACAAACAAACAAACAAAAAACCAGAGGTCCAATGACAGCCTAGGCTACACAGTAAGTTTGAGTAAGTTTGACAGCAGCCTGAGCAAACAACCCCCTACCCCCCAAAAAAGATCAAGCAGCAGCCACTAGCAGGTAAACAAATGAACACTTTTACTTTAGACAGTGATCAATATAATGAATTTTTACAAAGGAATTGGGGCCCTGTGAGATGGCTCAGCAGGTAAAGTTCTTGCTGTACAAGAATGACTGCACAAGTTTGAGTTCCTTCCCTCCTCTTGATATTTCTAGAAAAAGTTTCTTTGTGCAACTCTGGCTGTGCTGGAACTTGATTTGTGGATCAGGCTGGCTAAGAACTCAGAGATCCACCTCTGCCTCCTGAGTACTGGGATTAAAGGCATACACTGGGATCAGATAATCTTTTTGTTTATTTTGGTTTTTATGACAGGATTCTCTGTGGAGCTCTGGCTGTCCTGAAACTCACTCTGTAGATCAGGTTGGCCTTGAATTCACAGAGATCTGACTGTCTCTGCCTCCCAAGTGCTAGAATTAAAAGTGTGTACTACCATGCCTGGCTCAGAAAAAAAAAAATTAAAAATACATACCAAAAGTATCCTAGATTCATCAGAGAAAATAAAGCAAAAATCTAGTACTCTGAAAGAAGAGCTACAATTTTTTTAACTGAATGGATTTTTCCATTTTCATGTAAATTTGTAGTATAAATCTTAGACTAAAATTTCCAGTGCTACTAGCTAAAGTTTTTCTTGGATTTCATAGAAGATTAAGCCATTTTTTGGCTTTGAGAATATACAAGTTTAGGCATTAGAAATTTTGTAGATGTTTATCCCATAACATATCTAATACAAGCAGTTATGTCAATCCCAAATAAATGAATATTTGCAAAACTAGTTGCTGAAGCAACTGAGTAGTTGCTAGGAAGGCATACAGTATGAAATTACACATCTTCTACCCGCAGTAGCATCTGGTTTAATCCAAACATGAACACATCTCTAAATATTCAATTCTAGGTTGCTGGCCTTCTATAATTAAAAATAAACTTATTCTTAGCATTTTCCAATTCAATTCAGTACCTGGAGATATATAGCTAGTATAGTGATGTTTCTCTAAGAATTGAAAAAGATAATCATAGGCATAAAAAAAAAATTTCTTTTCCTTTTGCAGGATCATCAAAAGGGGCAGAGATCATCTCATGTTCCTACCCTCACAATGGTCTAAAAGTCAAAGTTCTTTATGCTGAATTTTCATAATAATAATCCATAGAGGGAGTTCCAGGACAGCCAGAGCTACACAGGAAAACCCTGTCTTGAAAAACCAGTAACAAAAATATTAATAATAATAATAATAATAAAATAAACTTTAAAAATTTTTAAACATTAATAAAGACATAGTCTAACTTGATGAAAAATTTAAAGTTCTATCACCCATAAAGAAAGGGAAGCCTTGGATAATAGCATCATGACTGATAATAACTCTAACTACATTTGCAAAATCTTTATTCCTTATGCCAGTAAGTACTACTTAAGAGAAAGTTCTCACTAAAGCATCACCAGCTTATGTGAAACACACCAGAGACTACAGTAATTGTTACTGTTGCTAGCAGAAGTGACAGACATAACAAAGATCTTACCTAATCTGAGCTCTCCGAAGTTCCCACATCCTATCTTCTTGCCAACCCTGAAGTTGGGTCCCACCATGAGAACCCCAGAGGATGCTGAGGTGCCAGATGGTCTGGAACAGTGTGTATTCCTTTGTGCCATGGTTTTAGTTGACCGTTGTCTGTCATCTTTCTCCCTGTTAGAATGGTCCATGATCCTACACCACAGTCTCTGAACAATGAGTGACCTCAGTGTGTATACTTCTCTTCAACACAGAAGTATGTCCAAATTAAGTGCAGTCAGAGAATGAGAATGATGAGTTTTGGCACCATATTTATGCTTCTAGTGTACTTCCAGGAGATGAAAAACCACTGATTAGTTCTTGAAGAACATGTAGTCTGTAGGTCTCAAGCATAGGAGGACATTTTGTAACCTGGATAAAATACAGAAAAATACTGTGAAAAACTAATTTGGGTGGGGTAGGGTAGAGTTTGAGACAGGGTTTCTCTGTGTAGCCCTAGCTGTCCTGGAACTCTTTCTGTAGACTAGGCTCGCCTTAAACTCATAGAAATCTACCTGCTTCTGCCTTCCAAGTGTTAGTGTTAGTATTTATGCATTTTAAGTCAGGCATTGGTGGCCCATGCCTTTAATCCCAGCACTCGGGAGGCAGAGGCAGGCGGATCTCTGTGAGTTCGAGGCCAGCCTGGTCTACAAGAGCTAGTTCCAGGACAGCCTCCAAAGCCAGAGAAACCCTGACTCAAAAAACAAACAAACAAAAAATATTTAGGCATTTTACTTGCCTGACTTTGGAGTTCTGACAAGATAAGCCCTCAACTGCTGCCACTAAGAGCACCACCTGTGCCTATTCATTATGTTCCCTTTAAAAGGGTCCTGCCCACCTCCGATCCCTCTCCCTCCCTCCTGCTGCTCCTGTCCCAGGAGGGCAGTCTCCCCCACATCCCCTTTCCCCTTTTTACGATCATTTTCCCTTAATAAATAAAACCATCTGTTTGAACTCTGTTGAATGGTGTCTTTCTCCCTTGAGCTGCTTTTTAAAAATTACAACAGGCCTAAAGGCATGCACCACCATGCCCTGAAAAAACTAAATTTAAAAGCAAACTGAGAAAGTCACTAATTAGAATGGATCCCATCCAATGGTAAAGCACAGTGATCTTCAAAGCTCCCTAAAACAGGTTTTGGTTTTATACGTTTTAACATGTTACTCATTCAGATTAGTTACTTAAGAGTTAACACAAGCTAAGTAAACTGCAAACCAGGAAGCTAAGGGAACACACAAAGTATTTAACTTGAAACATTTCTTTCAGTGATGTCCATGTAATCAAAAAGAAAAATATTTGCTAAATTTTCTTAAATCACTGTGTAAGAGGCTATTCAGCAAAAGGGTTAAACTTAAATAAAGAGTAGACGATTTAATTCAAAGTTCCCCTCTTAAAATTAGTCTAGAACTTATTAAAATGATGCTATTCAGTGTTGCTTTTACCATTTACCAAGCACTGGCAGCAATCATGCAATTCAAAATGTACAAACTGGCAACAGTCTCTCAGAGAAGCGCACACTTACACTTTCTGGTATTGTTTCTCTCCAAGTGCCTCTCTTAAGCCCTATGGTTAAGCAGATATTAAAAAAATATTTCATAAAACCCCAACTCCGCTTTAAAAGAGAAAAATGAACTGGAAGTGGTGGACCACACCTTTAATCCCAGCACTTAGGAGGCTGAGGCAGGTGGATCTCTATGAGTTTGAGGCCAGCCTGGTCTACATAGCAAGTTCGAGGACAGTCAGGGTTGTTGGACACATTGTCAAGAAGAAAAAAAAAAAAAAAGAAAGAAAGAGGGAAAGACTGGTATGTTGTGTTTTAAAAAAGAATTATTTATTCTTATTCTGAGTAGAAACCCGAATTGAAAATAAAGGCACAAAACTAAAATCTTAACCTTCATCCCCCTATTAAAAATTCTCCAGTGTTTTGTGTGAAAACTGAGCCCAACACAAAAGTTGACAATAAGATCATTTTATTGCTATATTTGATAATACATGTACTTGTGATATTATGTTTTGGATTTGTCTAGTGTCCCGGCTCATTGCTCACATAGCCATAGTTCCTTCCTAAGTGACCAGAATAAGCCTCAGAAAACAGGGCCTCTACCTCACATTTATTCTTTATTATTCTGTCTCCTCCCTTTTCTCCCCAAGGCAGACCAGAAAACTACAATTTCTCCTCCTGCAAGTAAGTCACACAAACTAAAATATACTCTTATCTTCTCAGCTTTGAAAATGACCACAGAGAAATTCTATCTCTAATTTGTCTGGCAGTAGATCAGAAGACCACCACCCCTTGAACCACACTTCATGAGAACAGCTTCCTACCCAGAAAGAATGAATGCCACAAAGAGGTCCAGAGGAATATGAACAAGAAGCTTCATTGGGTTTCTCACTATTGGCATTAGATCATACTCCTTTTTGTCCAGTCATATTTCTACATGCTTCAATCATGACTATGCAATAAAGTCTCCATAACAACCCAGAGACAGATCCCTGTAGACACTTAGGTTCCTCAGAGAAGGCATAGAAGGCATGGAAGCCCTATAAGCCCAGCCCCTATGCACCTCTTCTCCTGCACCTTTTATAACATATTTGATAACCAGAAAATCATAAATTATGTTTCCACGAGTTTTGTGAGACAGTCAAAACAAATGAATCCAGAAGTTAGGGAGAAGGAAGCTATTTATGGCCTGTTGATCAAAACCACAAGCAAAACAACCACAGATTTAGAAGGGAAACTTCAACTATGGGAAAGGACAATTTTAACAATTTGTGCTCAACCTGTAGGATCTGATGCAGTCAATTTCAAGGTTGACAGGGTCAGACCCACCAAGGCCATGTTTACCTCTTTAGAATTGCTTACTTGTTGGTGGAAGAACCTCCACACCTTTTCCAGGGACAGAAGCCTTGTGTATGACCATTATGGTGTAACAACTGTGAGTATTCTTCTCCCCTTTTAGTCTTAGGGTCTTAGGGATTCACTTGCCTCTGCCTCTGTAGTGCTGGAATTAAAGGTGTGTGACACCATGCCCCTGCCAATGGTATATAACAGGGCAAAGGTTTCTAGACCATAAGCTTCCTAAGAACATTTCCATTTCTAATTCCCTAATGACACAATCACAGGTACAAAGCTGCAAGCTGACAATGGACACATAATGCATAATCCAATCCAAGGATATACGCTTATAGTACAACATTAATTAAATAAATTTATCTTATATTATTTATTATAGTTTCTATTTGTTTTGTGTTAAAACTGTAAAGTGACATTAGAATTTCCACAATACTAATCATCAGCAAATTTATTTCCTACATGAACAATAGAATTCCTATTTCTGTTCATTTCCAAATGTATCCAATATCCTCTGGTTGTCTTTTATCCAAATCTCTCAAACAGTAATGCAGAACAAAAAAGAAAATAAAATGGAAGATATTTTATTTATATAGATCTTTCTTAATTGCTTAAGGCATGTGTATGTTAGAAACTGGGGGCTTTATTTTCTTTCCTTATGTTACACATTGTTTCAGCACACTAATAGAATGTGCAGCTCATATGCACATTCAACTAATGCTTCGACCTTCAGATTACCATCACTAGCATATTTGTGAACGGTCTGTGTACAGTTACTAGTAGACAACATAAAAGCAACCAGATTAAATAGAACACACAAAGTAAACATTAAATCTTATTTTAATTTTTTAAAGGAGGGGAAGTGGGCTTCCAGGATGGAAATACAGATTAAACATAGAATGCTTGCCTACATGGGAAAGAGCCTACAGTTAATTTAAATCTCGAGGGCTTTTGGGTTTTTGTTTGTTTGTTTGTTTGAGACAGGGTTTCTCTGTGTAGACCCGGTTGTCCTAGAACTGAATCTGTAGACCACGCTGTCCTCAAACTCACAGATACCTGCCTGTCTCTGCCTCCCAAGTGCTGGGATTAAAGGTGTGTGCCACCACCACCCAGTTTTTTTTTTCTTTTTTTTTTTAAGGCTTCCAAGGAAAGCAGAAAAACACAAACCATATGCTTCTACTACTGTGTCATTTGCACTCTTTTATTACCAGAAAAGGAGAGAAAAGAAATTATATAAATGCAGTAAATAGGTGTCTGTTTTCCTAGTGAATACAGCATCAGTCATTTATTATTTAATAAATATGTTGCACATAATAGTGACCACATTTATTTGAACTTCCACAGTCATATCAGCAAGTTAATGATATTCTAATATCACTAAAGCCAAGAAAGGTGGTACACACATGTAATGCCAGTACTTGGGAGGTGGAGGTAAAAGGATCAGTATACCAAGGTCAGTCTTGATACATCTAAAGTTTGAAGCCAGTTTGGGTGACATAAGATGCTGCCTCCTAAAACGGTGAATAACTGATACAAAATCCATAAGGTTAGGATAACTTTAATAGATAAACGCCAGCCAACAGCAAGCCAGAGTGTGCCAAAAACAGCAAGACCAGAGAGGCAAGAAGAGCCATATGCCTTGTCTGTCCCTTTAAAACCTATCCCGAATCACTCTGTAGCCACTTCTTAGGAGGCATGGTTACGGTGTCTCCCTACAGTCTCCTAATCTAAACAAATAAAAATACCAATAAAATACAAATAAAAGGCTAAAACAAAAATCATATAGTAAGAACATAATAAACCTAAGAAGTTATCAAGCTTGATGTTAGTAAAAATATATTTGTAAGAGGGCTATCTTTAAGGCAAAGAAAAATGGCACTAAGGAGATGGTTTAGCAGTTAAGAACACATATTGCTCTTTCTGAGGACAAGTTTGGTTCCCAGAACCCATAGCAGTTGGCTTACAACAACCTGTAACTCCAGCTCCAGAGGATCCAACACCCTCTCCTGGCTCCACAGATACCTTTATACACACACTTGAACACAAAAGTGCCTGTACACATTTGTCCTCTTATGGCCTCTGTGGGCACTTACACACATACACATAAATAAAAATGTTTTTAAAAACACAGAAAATTGTTACACGTTCTGGTGCTATTGTTTCTCCTTTCCATAAACTCTAATTAAGTCATCATTTTCATTATTTTCACTCCTTAAATCTCATCAATCTGTTACAATACTACAGTTTTCGGTTCTTACATTTTTCCCTATTTCTTCATTTAAAGGGTCATACTGGACGCTGGAGAGATAGCTCAGAGGGAGGTATGAAGGGCTTACTGTGTAAACCTGGCTGGAGTTCAGTTCCCAGCACCCACGTCTGCTCTTAGTTCTGAGGTATCTTTCTCCCTCTTTTGGCCTTTTCCCTTGCACAAGCATGCCCCTGCACATACACTCTCACACAGACAGACCCATGAACAAATAAATTAAGCCTTTAAAAAAATTGCTTTTATTAGCCAGGTGGTGA